ACACCCTTTGGCGATGACCTGTTTGCATCTCTGCCTCCACTTCCAGCTCCAAAAAGCACCGGGACAGTGTGACCACCTCTAGCATTGTGACCCGAACCATAGCATGTGCTCACCACAGATTGCTGACTGCAAGTGACATCCATGATCTACATAAACACACATAGAGTGTGTGTGTGTGTGTGTACATGTGCGTGCACAATGACCTCTACACAGCCATGTCCCACGCCAGGGAACGCAGGCCGCGTGCACCCACCACCCAGAGAGAAACTCCACCGGGGGCTCAGCCCTCCCTGCCTGGCCGGGTCATTCCTTCCTCCGTCCGACAAGGGTTACGTCATGAGACGCCTCCGCTCCCACCCACTCACAGCCCAGGGAGAAGGGCCTGCCACCAACGGCGTGTTCCCTTCCCCAAAGGGGCTGGGAGTCATCGGGAAATGCTAAGCGAGGGCCTACCGCTGTCACATGTTATTTATAAATAACAGTCTTTCCACGTGCCGCTAACAGAGAGAACAGAAGTGCGGGACACCCAGCAGGGGACACCTACCAGGCTTATTTCGCCCAGAGTGGATCTCATATCTAATATTGACAAGCCAGGAAGTATCTTAAAACCCATTTATCCGAATCCCCTTATTGTTGGGATGAAAGAAAGAAAGAAAGAAAGAAAGAAAGAAAGAAAGAAAGAAAGAAAGAAAGAAAGAAAGAAAGAACCACGCCTTATTTTCAAGGAGTGTGGTTTACCCAAGCCATTGATCTTTCAGATTGCATTTAAAATGTGCACCCCAGGCCTCCGAGGACCCTCCGCCACCTGCCCCTCCGCGGGCCTCTCCGCTGTGGAAGGCGGGGGGGGGGGGGGGGGCAGGCTCCCTCCCCCGGACCGGGCTCCGGGGCGCCTTCTCCGTGGCTGGACGCGTGGACCGAGGTGGGGTGTGGGTAGAGCATCTCGTGTTTGCGCATGGGAAAAGACAGAACTGGTTTTATCCATTTCCTCCTAGTGATTCAACAGTTAAACCCTTCCCAATCAGAGATTATTCTCGAGCCTCTAATACTATTTAAATTACAACTCCCAAATCTTAAATGATGTAACAGGGCCAAATGCTGCTGCTTTTTTAAAGATGCGACACATCACGTGCAAGTTACCTAACAGAACCGAGGGCCACGTGGCTGGCCGGGCCGGGAATGACATGCACAGGGGTCCTCGGGCCCTGACGCTCCCCCCTGTCCGCGCCCCCCCCCCTCCAGTCCTCAACAGGCCGATAGGGGAACCCCAAAGAAGCCACCGATCGCCTCTCAACTGCGTGAGACGGGGGTCTCCTCGTCACCGGCCGTTCCCTCAGGCACCACAGGCACCGGCTGGAGCGGCCGCAGGTCCTGGTCTCCCCGGCCCCGAGCCGGTGGCCGGCCCCTCGGTCCCCGAAACAAATCCGCAGGGCAGGGCGCTTCAGAGGAGAGCCCGGCGGGCCGACTCAGTCCGTCAATGCAGGGTGGTCAGGAAGGCAGCTGTCTGAGCCACCCGGCTACCCAGAGCCTCTCTCGGCCCAGAAGACGGTGTGGGGAGAATCCCAAGCCACCCGTTCTCTCCGCCTCAGTGCGTCTGCTGCAAGCCAGCGGGCGAGGCCGGGGCAGCCAGCCCACGCTCGGCGCCCACGCAGACCGAGGCCTCGAGACCCTCACGTAGACTGCACATGTATCCCTGTGTCACAGGCTCCGGGATGCACAGACGTCCCAGATGATCACGGCCCGAAATGCAGCTGCCGTGAGGACCGGGGCTGCCACAGCATCGCCCGGGCGGCCTGTGTCCCAGGCGCATGCTGAGACCCTGGGGGTGTCTCAGCATGCAGCCGCCGGGGCCAGAGCCTTCCCAACGCCCCCCGAGGCTGGACCAGGTACTGACACCCCTCATTGGCACATTAACCCAGGGGCCTGCTCCTCCTCCCATCCGGTGGATTTGGACAGCTGAGCCTCAGACGCTGGGACCTGGCCAGGTCCCAGGGGAAAGGAGAGCCATGGCTGGAGCCCGCTGCTCTGGCCCCTTCCTACATCCTCCCACCTTCCCCTCTCGGGGGCTCCGAGCTGGGGACCAGGAGGAGGTCCTCAGTGCAGAGCGGACGAGCCGCTCAGTGGAAGGGACTCAGCCCTGCGGGGCGCGGCACAGACACGCACGTGCGGCCGGCCCTGCGTCAGGAGGGAAGTGCACGCCGCTGTCGCTCTGCGTCCACGGCTGCAGGTGACATTCCCTGACAGAGTCCCTCAGCAGAACGAGCATCTCCTGGCAGAGCCCTGATCGGCCCCACTCGCCCGGAGCCCAGTGCCGCCTCGCCTACAGGACCCTGACTGTGTGCCGATGGGGCATCATGTCTAGATCCAGCTTTCACTGTCACTCGTTGCCAGCCCACGGCAGGGGGAAGGCATCCGTGCCCGTGTCAGTGGTTGGACTGTGACAGCCGTGAACATGGGAGCTGGCGGGGCTGGACTTCCAATAAAAAAATTAAAAAACAAAAAAAAACTTCAGAGAGGAAAGAGACGCGGGAAGTTCTGAGGCAGAGAGCAAAGGCCTCACGCATGCCGGGCGTCCGTTCCAGGCACGTTCGTTGCGTGCCAAGGCCTGGGGACGGCACATGTGGAATTTAAAAGACACCATCTGCCGGGAGGGGGACGCTCCGAACGATAAACTTAACCCTTCCTTCGCCCTCTCCTCCTCGGGGCGGGAAGGAGGGGAGGGGCGCGCACATTCGCTGAACAGGTTGGGCAGGATGGAAGGAGAGGGGGCGCTCCGTGAGACACTGGACAAGCCCAGCATCACAGTCTGTGCATTTCCTCCAGGAAAAGAAAGCAACCACCTTCTGTTCTACTCACTCTTCAAACCAACACTACACACGCCCCCGGCCATCGTCAGGTAAGAGCCCAAACCACGCCGACAGCAGCCACAGCCTGCTCTGCAGCGTTCCCCTCCGCCAAAGTCCCCGGCGGGCGCTGTGAACGCAAACGCAGCCGTTTTCAGGAATCCTTCCGATCTGTGGGATGAAACGTGGAGTCATTCCTCAAAGAAGGAAGGGTTTCTTTTCTTAAAAAAAAAAAAAAAAAAAAAAAAAGAAAGGAAAGTCTGTAAGGCGGAAGGAAACAAGAGCATGTCGCCCAGATCAAAGGCATGTCCTGCTTACACGCTAACAGGCCGCGGGGACACGCGTCACAAAGCAGGAAGGGGGACAGAGCCGTGACAATCCCCACGCTTCCTGACCGGCAGGCTGACGTGTTCTTAAAGCACATTTCACAAACGCAACACGGCTCCTCGGGGGCTGAGGTGAGTTCACAAAATAGCTTTATTAGACGTGAGAAAGCATACAGCAGTCCAGGCAGGAAACACCCACAATGCCCACGTCCCGCGGACCTGCCTCGGAGGTCACGGCTCGCCGCCTGATTCCCGTCCCCCGCCTCACCCGCACCGCAAGTCCGGGCCCACCCCCAGGAAACGCTGTCACCGTGGCACAGACACGCCCTCGCCGTGCCCGCAGGGGTCGGTGTCTCCCGAGGGTGGCCGGGCACGGCCGTGCAGTCCTGCTGGTGACAGCGGACGGGACCCAGGGCGCGGAGGGAGGGCTCACGTTGGTCCAAGAGACGCTGGTGGCTTCGGGGTGCGTGGCACGCCCGGAGAGCGGGGTCTCCTGGTTTTTTTCAGAAAGAAGTGTCTACCCGGAGAAGGATCATGAGGCACTCGTTGTTAGGATACCGTTAACATTTAGACTTTTTCAAAAAGCGATTCTAAATGCGGACGAAAGCACTGCGGAAGCAGCCGTGGGCTGTCCCGGTGGGAGGAGGGGCCCTCGGTCCACACGGCACACGGCACACGGCGCCAGGGCAGCCCCGTGCGGCTCCGAACAGCTCTCTGGCACGAGGGCTGAGAGAAGACCCCGGAGGGCCGGTGATTTCACCTGCGTACAACGTGTGATATAATTTTTCCTTACCGTTCCGATGATACAATTCGAGTTGGCTTCTTCTTACCACCGGCCTTTGGAAAGGAATGTACAGAGCAGCGGGTCTCGGTGGCTTAAAAGCTTCTGGACTCAGCAGCTGCTGTGCTTCCCGAGGCCCCTCCCCACGGTGAGGGGGACGGGCATGCCCAGCACCCGCCAGCTCTCCCCGCGGCTCTGCCTGTGCCCGGGGGCTTAAGGGATGGGCACAGGCTCGTCCTGTCAGTCTCGGCTGTGCGGCGGGAAGCGACGCCTGGGCACCGAGGATCTCCGAGAGGCCGCAAGCGTGCGCCCGGGGCTGATAAAGTGCTAGTTAAGAGGACACACGTGTGGTCGGAGGTCTCAGAGAGCGCATTCGTGTGTCCTGTTAAATACGATCATGTAGATTTATTATAATAAGTTAAAAATATCCCTATCGGACAATAAATAAATAAAACCCATATATCCACAAAGCATCTCTCAGTTCTGGGGGAAAAACAACAACAACAACAAAAAAAAAACACCCCACAACAACAGCAATGGCAGTCGTGCTGTAAGGCTCAGTTACGTTGGAGGAATCGCTGGGGAAAGCAGGCACCTACCTTCTCAGCAGGCGAGCTGTGCTCCGGCCACGTTAGCACCTGTGAGCACACAGCCACCCCTCCCCAGGCCCCCTCTCCCCGCCTCGCGCGTCCTTCCCACGCGAAGCTAGCTGCTCCCTGTGGGTTCTCTGCCCTATCTTTGAGTCCGAAGAGAAAGGACCGGTTTCTGAAAACACGTCTGGAGCCAACGACAGGTCTCTCGTGAGCCCTCGCCTCAACATGGGTGGCTCTTCGACTCGCCAGGAAGAACACGGGAAAACACGCCGGGACGGATGTTCACACGGAGTTCGTTGTGTTGGAGGAGAAGCAGCAGAGGGAGGCTGGCCGGACACCCCGAGTCTCGCCGTCCCTTTGCTGCCTGTGCACAGCAAGCCCCAGAGACGACACCCCTTCCCCCCGCCCCGTCCCCTCTCGCTTTGGGGGTGAGCGCTGCCGGCAGGAGGCCCCTCGGGGCTCAGGTGGGGTGCTGTCCGTTCTGTGTGAGGGGCTGGATCTTCCCCAGAGAGACGTCCGTGTCGTAGTCCAAGATGACAGACAGGGCCGGGGACAGCCTGTCGGGGGGCCCGGCCGTCCCGCCCGCCTCCTCCTTCCGCGGGCCCCCCGGGGCGCCCACAGCCTGCGGGATCAGGTACACCGCGCTGCAGTCCTTGGGGATGGAGCCCCGCGGCTCGTGGTGGCTGGAGAGCGCCGCGCCCCCGTTGTTGTTGACGCTGACCGTCTCGATGGCGTTGCCCGCCGCGGGGCAGAGCCTGTCGCAGCCCAGGAGGGTGGAGAAGGCCTTCCGGAAGTCGGCGTTGAAGGCGTAGATGATGGGGTTCAAGGAGGAGTTGGCCCAGCCGAACCACACGAACACGTCGAAGGTGAGGGCGTCGATGCAGAAGGGCTGGGTCTCGCCGGCCCCGCAGAAGGGCGCGATGCAGTTGAGCACGAAGAAGGGCAGCCAGCAGCACACGAACACGCCCATGATCACCGACAGCGTCTTCAGCACCTTGGTCTCCCGCTTGAAGGACGTCTTGAAGGAGCTCTCGGGCGGCGCGCCCTCGGCCGGCCTCCCGTTGCCCGCGGTGGCCTGGCAGTGCTTGGCGTGGACGGCCGCCCGCTCCAGGGCGGAGATTCGGCGGATCTGCTTCTGAGCAATGCGGTAGATCCGGGTGTAGGTGACGACCATGATGGCCACGGGGATGTAGAAGCTGATGAGGGAGGAGGAGATGGCGTAGGTCCTGCTCAGGCTGGCGTCGCAGTTGTCGGCCGCCTCGCCGCCGGGGGCCGTGGCGTTGCCCTCGGCGGGGCCGGCCGCGGCGGGCCTCGCCTTGTGCCAGCTGAGCTGCACGGGGATGAAGGAGATGAGCACGGACAGGGTCCAGGCCACGCCGATGAGGATGAAGGCCGCCCGGGGCGTCATCTTCCTCTCGTAGCGGAAGGGGCTGGAGATGGCCCAGTAGCGGTCCACGCTGATGACGCACAGGTTGAGGATGGAGGCCGTGGAGCACATGATGTCGAAGGCCACCCACACGTTGCAGAAGGCGCCGAAGGGCCAGAAGCCGGCGATCTCGGCCACGGCCTTCCAGGGCATGACCAGGACGGCCACCAGGAGGTCCGACACGGCCAGGGAGATGACGAAGAAGTTGGTCACCTTGGACCGCAGGTGCCGGAAGCGGACGACGGCGGCGCACACCAGCGTGTTGCCCAGCAGCGTGGACAGGATGAGCAGCGACAGGAAGCAGGCGGTCAGCAGGCGGAAGGAGAAGTCCCGCTGCCCAGCCGGCCCGGCCCTGTCCATGGTGGAGGCGGCGGAGGTGTTCAGAGTCCTCATCTTCCGGGAAGAGCAGGGGAGGGGTGGCCAGGGGAGCTCTGATGTCCCTCAAGTTCCCAAGCAGAGCCAGGGGTCAGGGGTCAGGGGTCAGGCAGCCCCTCGCTGCCCCGGGTGCAGGACCTCCCTGGCGTCCTGGGTGAGAGCTGCACCCCGGTGTGGCAGGAGCCTGCCCTGTCCCCCGACTCACCCCCTTGGAGGGAGCCGCTGGCTCTCTACGGCCGCCTGCCGACCCCCTCGCTCCGGGTCACGGTCATTGCCGCCCGCTGGCCCTTCCGTGCCCATGGGAAGCAGCGGCTTTTCAGCACGTGCGACGCTTTCCATCCGGAGCCCCGAGGCCTCTCCCGAGCTGGTCAGTGACCGTCACATTTGGGGGCCGAGGCAGGCGCAGCTGGAAATGCGTGCCAGGCTCCTCCGCGCCCAGGTTCCTCCGCGCCCGCCTCTGAGCAGCTCCCCGAGCGCCCTGCGAAAGCAAAGATGCCGGGACTTGAGCAGATCGCACCTTCACGGCAAGCCCAGCCCCTGCGCCAGCCACCTACCTCGCCGTGGGGGGTCTCTCTGCGCCTGCCGCCCGGGGAGCACAGCTCCAGGATGACCAGGAGCCACGCCGGATCCTGCCCGGTGGGCACCAGGGTCCCCAAGGCGCAGAGATCATCGGGGGTTCAGAGCCCGCTGCTCCCCGGCCTCACAGGCTAGAGAAGGGCCAGGCGGGGGGAGATGGGGAAGGGCATCTCCCCTCTGCTTACTTTCTGCCCCCTCCAAACGCCGGGTGCCCCGGGCAACCTCTGGCCCCTGAGGGCAGGCCCCGCGCCCGCCCGCCCGGACCCAGCCACCGGCTCCCGGAGCCCCTGGGACGCGAGGCAGAGCCAGCGAGCTGGCACCCGCGGGGCGCGGGCTCCGGGCACAGCCCCCGCCCCCCTCCCGGCCCCTCCCCGCCCGGGGGCGGCTCCGCCTGGCAGGCTGGGCGCGGGCAGCGCCCACGTGGCTCCCCGGATGCGGGCGGAGGAGTGAGGGCGCTCAGTGAGCACCGGACCCCCTGGGTGACCCCCACCCCCGGCCCCAGGGCCCCCAGACCCTGGGACAACACCTGACAGGAGCTCCAGACCCATCCGGACGCAGGAACCCAAGTAAACCCGCGGCGGGAGGCTCAGCTGCGGCCTCGGCGCCCCTCGGAGCCGGAGCCCCTCGCGGACCCCGCGCGCCCTCCCCGCACCCGCACCCGCCGCCCGGCCCCGCGACCTGCGCTGCCTCCGGGGCCCGTCCCCCCGGGCGGTCCCCGAGGGCGAGGGCGGTACTCACCGCGGCCGGGGCTCCGGCTCCGGCTCCGGGCTCAGGGTTCAGCGATCCCCCCGCCCGCTCCGTGGCGCCCCCAGTGCGCGCTTCCCCTCCGCCCGGGCGGCCGCGCTCTGGGGCCGCGGCCAGTGCCATCCGCCGGAGCGCAGAGCGCCCCAACCCAGCGCCTGGCGCTCCGCGGGCCCGGGGCGCCCTCTGCCGGCGGCGGCGCGGCTTGCCGAACCGCCACTGCGCCCCGCGGGGTGGGGAGGGGGCAGACCGCCCCCCCCCCCCCCCGCCCGCCAGCATCCACGTGGGACCCGCTCCGCCCCGGCGGTGATGCCAGACCCTGCGCGGGGGGCTCCTGTGCTTAAAACACCCCGAAACACAAAGCACCCCAAAACACCGACAGGGTGAGAGGTCCTTTTGCAGGCACTGCCTTCGTTGAAGCAAGGTATTTCTCCAACCCTCAGGGCCTCCAAGAGCTGGGGTGACGGGGTGAGGGGCTGCCTGGCTCTCAGAGGCCAGAGAAGAGCGGCATCACAGAGCAGCCTCCTGTCCCAGGCACAACCCCTGCCACTCCCCCCTGGCACAGCCCCTGGCCTCCGTGCGCTTCCCAGGACCTGCCTGCCCCCCGCCCAGGTCCAGCAGGAGCCGGAGACCTAAGCAATGACCCGGGGCTGAGACGGGGGAAGGCAGGGAGGGTGGGGGCAGGAGGCCTGGCAGACAAGGGTGCCCCTGCGCCCTCCCCAGCTGCCCGGGCCGCGCCTGGAGGATCAGACGGGGCACCCATTGTGCCCAATGCCACATCCCCATGGCTGCCTGGCATTCCTGAGGTGGGAGGCAGCACGGGGCTCCGTGTCAGGCTGCCTGGCTCCCGTGCCCTCCCTCCGCTGCCCTGCCCTCTCCCTGTCTGGGAGGCGGTGACCAGGCGACAGGGTCGTGAGGAGTATCCAGTGGGCGGCTGCCTGCCGGGGGCTGGGCACCGGGGAGGCCCAGCCAGCCCTCCTGGCAGGAACCGGAGGCCCGTGCAGATGGCAGCTTCACCCTATGAGAACCTGCTCCCCCAAACGATGCTTCTGCCCATGACCCACTCCCCGAGGCACACAGGCTCAGAGGCAGGGCTGCTCCCAGCCCTGCCCCCCCCCCCCCCCCCCGTCACCCTCAGGGACACGTGGGCCTGAGTCCCGGCCATGGACACCATGTTCACCTAAAGACCACACACTGAGCTCAGCACCGCACTCCCAGAGCCTTGTCCCTGAGGCAGCATTTCTGCCTCTGATGCCTCTCTCCCTCTCTCTCCCTTTGATTCCGGCCCCACCGCGTGGGCCTGAACCTGTGCCTCCCCCCTTCCACCTGCGGTTCCTGGAACGTTCACACTGCAACCCCCACAAGCACCCCAGGAGGGCAGTCAGCATTAAGGGCGGGGGGGCAGGAAAGAGTGGGGTCCTTTTCTCCACCGTAAAGGGGAGATGGGGCCGGACGGCAGGAGAGAGGACGCCCCTGGGAAGAAACCCCAAAGAGCACACTGCGGAGCGAGGTCAGCAGGAGGCCAGTCCGAAGGGTACAATGTCTGTCCAGTGACAGCCGTGACCGGTGCCCTGGAGCCATAGCCCCGGAGCCATAGCCCGGCAGTGCCCACCGCCCCTTAGATTAAACAGGAGCCCAGCCAGGGCCGCCCACGTAAAGCCCAGTGGCCACCGGTCTGGCCTCCGGTGCCATCACACCCGGGGCAACACCGGCTGCACGGCCTGAGTGTCTCTGATGTGAGATTTAAATAGGAAGCAAAACCTCGTCGGGAGCAAAAGACGTTCATAGTGAGTGAGCGTCTTATCTTCGCTTCTCTCCAGCTCGGCGGCTGCTGCAAAGGAGTCTCTCTCCCTTTGCTTAGAAATCCCCCCCAAACTAACCCTGGCTGACCCGTGTCTTCCTTCCACGTGTGCACGGGACAGGCACAGGCAGGCAAGCCAACACATGTCGCCTGTCCCGTGGCCGAGCGGTCCTTCTGCTCACGAGGGAATTTCTGGCCTTTCGGTCTTTCCGCAGAGCTCAGGGGCCCACCCGGAGGGAGGCCCAGGGGGCACCGAGGGGGTTTGCTTCCTGTCACCGGGGAGCCAGCACATGGACAATCTCTGAGACAGACCCTGTGCTCGTTTGGGGCAGACGGAGGTCCCTGGTTTTGATCATCGCTGCCGAGGGAACAGGGAGGGTAAGATGTCGCTTAGATTCCCGTGTCTGTCACCTGCACAGGCAGCTGTACAGTGTGGCTAGGGGTTTGGTTTCTTCCTTTTTGTTTGTTTGGTTGGTTGGTTGGTTGGTTGGTTGGTTTGGTTGGTTCTCCCTCTGGAAGCCAGCGTGCACAGAGGCCTCGGCTTTGTTCTGCAGAAATCGCCCCTCCTCCTCCAAACCCGGGGAATGTGAGTGCACGCCCGGCAGGTATCAGAATTAGATGCCGCTGGAGTGTAAATCCAGACACAAAAGCGCCTTTGTCTCCCAGACCGCACGTCTTTCCGCTGCCCTGTGATGTCCGCACCGCAGGGAGGGGTGCTTTTCAACCGATGTTTACTTGGAGCTTTAAACTAAACGGATGCAAAGGCGTGCTCCACGGGGTGGGATGGGGTGGGGGTGGAGGGGAGATGCACTGTGGAGTATGACAAGTGCCTTTTACTTAGGAAGTTCGGCATTCTTAAAGCTGGTTTCACACCAAAAACAACTGCCTCTAATGTCAGAGAAAAGAGAGAGAGCTTGGCTAACCTTGGCTAAGTAACTAGGATGGTCATGTCTTAGACCTGTGGTCGGCAAACTCATTAGTCAACGGAGCCAAATATCAACAGGACAATGACTGAAATTTCTTTGGAGAGGCACATTTTTAAAATTTATACTTCTTCTAATGCCTCTTCTTCAACATAGACCTGCCCAGGCCCTGGTATTTTGTGGAAGAGCCACACTCAGGGGGCCAAAGAGCCGCCTGTGGCTCGTGAGCCGCAGTTTGCCGACCACAATCTCAGGCCATACATACAGCTTCTCTGAAATGCCCACTCCTGGGACATCTTCTCTCCTCCTGTCGTTATTATGCAATTCAAACATCAACACTATTAAAAACCTAAAGGTCAACACAGAGCAGAGACCCGAACCCGCCACCTTCCTGTGTACAGACGGCGCGCCAGCCCATGGAGCCACCCAGCCAGGCCCAGGCATGTTTTCCGTGGTTGCATCTGCTCTTGATTCCACTCCCTGTTCCTCTTTTCCTGTCTTCTCTGGGCTGAAGATTCCAGTCTGCCTCCTTTACTGCCTTATTTTACACTACTTTGTGCTTTGTTATGTCCATGGTTGCATTGGGGTTATTTTCATGGTTGCTTCACAGCATATATTTGCTAAGGTGTATAATGCAGACATACTGTATATATCTTATATGATAGGTACTTGATATGTTATATAACAACATAAGACTCAGACATGCCCTCTAGCTCCATCTTCTACAACTCCATCTCGGGGCCCATCTCAGGGGCTGACATGGACCATTTCCTAAGGCGCGAGGGGCCCTACAATGCTCTCTTCTGTGTCCTCCCTCCCAGTCTTCACGCTGCCGTCACACAGTTCACTTCGACACATGACATACATCCCAGGCCACCTTGTGATCACTTTTCTCTAAACAGTCACTTATCCTCTAAAAAGGTTTAAATAGTAAGGAGAAATACTCAATACCTACCCAGTGGCCGCGCTTTCCTGGG